ACCACTCAATGCGCCTGACATGTCTGGCATACAGGGGGTCAATACAAGGAACCCTATTGCGTAGGCATATGGGGATGCACTACGCCCCCCAAAGTGGCACACATGCCTACATCGGAACACTGCTGATACATATACATGGTTCGGAATCGTCTCATAAGAACTTCCGCACGATGTGTAGAATGCATCACCTAGAGAAGTTGCCAATCGACTTGAGATGATGGCCGTGCTATGGTCACACCGTGTTCGCTGCAACGATCAGCGGGAGCTGGCAATTAATAATAACAAGCGTGCTCGTAAACAAAAGACTGCAAGCCGCTGGCAACAACATCGAGATCGTCGTCGACGCTCCCACAGCACGTCGGAGGGGGACTGGCCAGAAGCCACGATGATCCCAAGATGGCCCCCCAGGGCCCCCCACAGACTATCCCAAATGAGCCCACAACTGAGCCAAGACGGCTCGAATGTGACGACCTGTGTTCCCGAAGCCTCGCCACCAAGAACGCTGAGCTGACATGGTGTCAGGACTTGCCGCAGGCACCTGGACACACTGCAATGAGGTGCGACTCAATGAGGTACAATAGCACGATCTAGCGCTGCGTTGCATGGCAACGCCTGGCATGTCAATGCGTAACCGCATCGAGCATCTGACATACAACGTAATACAACACGGAACGCGGCATGGCGCAACACAGCAAAACACGGAATAGCATTGGCGCGCACGTCACACGGCAAGCCATGGCATTGCATAGCACACCACACCACAACACCGCACTGGATACCAATCCTGGACCTGACGGGGGCCAACGCCCGTGCTCGCGAGGAACTGCCCCGAGCCGCCGACCAGGACGGCGCTTCCCTCTCGCGGCGCAGGCCGGGGCCCCTCGCGCGAGCCCACATCGGCGACATCGGGGAGACACCCACCTCAGAGACCACCGGGAAGACCATGGTGCACCTTAAGCGCGCTTGGCAGCCGCCGTGCTACCACAAGAAACGCCACATACCACGGGGGCTTTGCGGGGCACGACGGGCCTCGGCAATGCAAACAGTGTTCCGGACCCGGCTAGAAGGACCGGCTCGGACATCACAGCCGCTCCTGAGCCAAAAGCGGTCCTTGTTTCAGCGCCGTGACTGCACAGGCAAAACCACCACGGACTGATGACAAGGTACCGCTGGATGTGAGGTCGCGCGCGCATGCAGGCTACAACAGGGCCCAGGCAGACCATCTTCGACCTTGAACAGCACGCACGCGTCGCTCGCACACAATCGCACCATCGGCACGCAATCGTGTTCGCTCCTCAGGCCCGTGCCCAACCGTACGCGTGGAATCGGGACCCCTTTGTGTGCAAAACGACGATGGGATGCCACTTGTTGGCAGACAGAGTGGTTCCGTCGAGAAGGTTGTGGCATATGTGTTCGCCACATGGCATGTAGCCCCGTCTGGGTCACATGAGGGGGTACTCCGTGGGAGTGTATATTTTGTACATCAACGAGCTGGCACGCTGTATGACCAAATACTCGCCTCTCGGCCACAGTCGTCTTCCTAAGCGCGTTTTGCTGTGGGCAGCCAGGCCTTTGTGGGTGCGATCAGGGCGGCGTGTCGAACTTCGAAGTTGCGTGAGCTGCATAAGGCCGTATAGCGTGATGTTCAACTTGTTGCGTTGATCTGGCGGGCCGTGATGTCATGCGCTGCGGCAAACTCAGCGGTGACTCTATGTGGCTTGGTTCGCTGCGGCTATGCTCTGGTGGCTTGGTTCGCTGCGGCTGTGCTCTATGTGGCCGCAATGTGCTCTGGTGGCGGGGTGGTGGGAAAACCCATCCCCCCTCTGGGCGTAGGTGGTTTAGGGGAATTCGACTTTCAATGCAACTATTGCCTCTGGGTGAAGGGCCGGTCACTAATTCTTACTAGTAACAACCTCCTCTCCCGCTACCTTTAGAGGGCTCCTAGATGGCGCTTCCGAGAGGCTTTTGGAGCAACGGGTTTGCGGGAATCGTCATGGTTGATTCCTGCCGTCGTCACATTCCTCCTCCTCGTCCTCGTTAATGCCGTCGTCAACGCAACCGTCCTCCTCCATCCTCTTCCTCCTTCTTCTCTCGCCCGTCCCACGCCTCATCCTTTCACCTCCCTCTTCATCAGCCTCCTTCTTCATCAGCCTCCCTTCTTCATCAGCCTCCCACCTCCCTCTTCATCAGCCTCCCACCTCCCTCTTCATCAGCCGCCATCTTCATCAACTCCTTCTCCACTCTCTCCTACGCCTCCCCGTTCTTCGACGTCAAACTATCACTTCCACTCCAGGGTCTGCTCAGGCCGGCTCCGAGCAGCGGCTTGACGGCTGACTCCCCGATCGATTCCACTAGATGTCCCCAATTACACTTGCCTGGTCAGCGCAGCTCGCCTGGCGGTCGTCTCGGGATTCGCGGGTGGTGATGCGCGAAACGTCGAGGAGTCGGAAAATCGCGCAGGCGAAACCAAGGCTGCTCAGGAGGAAGAGACACAGGAGGAGAGAAGGGGGCGAGGATGGAGAAAGAGGGGGCGCAAGGACGTGCTGAGGGGGCTGCAAGGGAGGGGAAGGGGCATGTATGAGGACGTGAAACGTGAGCGCCTCAGGATCCGATTGGAACCATAATAGATATGGTGTAAGTGCTGCCTGACAGCGCCTGGACCTCAAGGTTTGGATGCACCGTGTATGATGGAGTTGGCTATTTCCCCTTGAAAGTCACCAGCTGTACTGTTGTGAAATTATCCTGCTCCTTCGGTGCAAAAGCGCGACAGGCCGTAGCACAATAGACGCTAGCCGTCTAAAATGTGGGGCCACTGTGTTACGTGCTTCCCCCCCGGCTGCTAATCGTCGAACTCTTCGGCGTCTGAGCGTCCCTTCTTCCTCTCGGCCGTGCCCCCCCCTCTCATTGCGCCCCGGCCAATTCGCCAGGCAGTGCCCCTTTCTAGCTTCTCGCTGGAGCGGAACTCGCCGCCTCGCCGCCGCCGCCGGAGAAAGTGTTACGTGCTGTTCGCCCGTGATGGTTCCACCTCCCCACCTCGTCATCCCCTCCTCCAGCCTCCTGCTCTGTCTCCGTCCCCCCTCATCCGAGGAATGGGGGACGTGCTGTTGGCAGCACGTCGGCCGAGCGAAGCCTCGAGCTCGTGCTGGCGCTCGGAATGTATAGTATCGCCACGCGATGGCTATAATCCCTGTGTCCACGCATCCGAGGAAGAGTATGGATGAGAAGTGGGAGAGAGAGAGAGAGAGAGAACGAGAAGGGGATGGACATAGAACGACGAAGAGGGGTCAGTCGAAAGAAACGGAGGACGGGCTCAGTCAAGAATGGGCTGGCAAGAAGGAGGACAGTGGTGTGGAGCATGAGGAGGATGTAGAGGACCACTACGGTAAATAGTACGAGGAACTCGGCGCGGAACAACGAACGGGAAGAGTCAGATGGCGGAGGGAGGAGGAGTAGGCAATACCAAACATGGAAGAGGAGTTCATGAATATGCAATGCAGAATGCGGTTTCCTGATATCCGTTTTGCTTCCAACTACCCAAGGCGCACGTAACACAATACATTGTCTAGACGGACATAGACTGAGCACCCGCAACACATGTACACTCTGAAACCACACTTACATCCTTGATACAAGTGCAAGGAGGGAGAACTCGGAATGGTTGCCTATTTGAGCTTGACTGTTGCAATTGTCATAGTGTTCGGGCCAATGCATTTCGCAGTGCCATACACAGATAGAGTGTGTGTGTGTGAGTCTGTGTGTGTGTGCGTTGAGCAGGTGCGCGCTGAATTCTACATTGAACGTAAGCTGCACTTCTGCGCATTCAAACCTTGAGCGATGCGCCCGCGTGCAACACCCTGGACCACTCGCAGTTGGCGGACAGCAACAGCCATCACATATTTAGTTTGGCACTTGTCCAGCATGAAAAAATATACCAAATTACCGATCCTCCCCATGGTTGTCAACTCTGTCTTCCAGCCCGCCCGCTTCTTGACATAATCTACGTAGGCACGAGAATAGTTGACCATGGCCCACGAATCCATGAGCCCAGAACGGATTATGGACTCCAACACTGCGACCAAGTCCTCGGACAAAGGCTTGCCGCGCGTGTCTACGACAAACACCCGCTCCTGGAAATCATACCTGTGGTAAGTCATCATGTGCTTTATGCGCCACGGCAAGATATCGACGTCCTTCTCCGTACACGGGACCATAAACGTCACGCCACTCGCACTGCGTTGACGTAGTGTTCCAGGCTGGTCCTGACCTTGTGACGGTATATCAGGTGGACGCCCCTCGAACAGGCTGTCTGATCCTGATAGAGGTCCTGGCAGAGGTTCGCTCCCAAGCCGCATGAAACTGGGTAGCAGTGCCATGATGGCCAATAACATGATCGGCACAATGTAAATAACATAGCTCCGAGTCATTGCACAAGTACAGAAACAGCCATAAACGCGCTATCAGCACCAATCGACGGGCGACGGGGTGCCCAGTCTCCAACAAACTATCCAATCAACCCTGTACATCGGACCTAGACATTGGAGTCGGAAGTGCGCGGGGCTGTGAGCCAAACATTACTGGTTCCTGAAGTCCAGAGCAAAATGTGGTTGCTGACATGCAAACCAGTTTCACACCACGCAGCCCTGCACCACGCACGACCCACCCTTAGCAATCAACAGTTACATCCCTAACACAAACTCACACATCACCTGCTACGAAAGAGTTTGCGCAGTGCCATTATCTATGTTACTGATCCGCCCAACATGCTGCAATCAAACGTTTCACGTCGCCACGTGCCTACAATGGTTGAATATCGACACTCGAACGCTGCCCAGAACCCGGCCGCCAAAGTATGACCCCTGAGTACGTTCTGCGCGACACTCCACTCAACGACCACGGCACAAACACTCACAATGTACTGACATGCAAACACGTACACTCCCTGGGTACATCGACGCCGCGGCTCGGCAGGAACGAAAGGGACAGTGGCTGCCGCGTAGCACCTTCGCGCTGGTCTTCTTTGCTGCAGCACGCTTGGGGGACCCCGCAACGCAGGCGGTGATCTGCACCGCCAAGAAGACTCTGCAGCCCTGTGGCGCGTGACCCCGGCTGCGGGGCTGCAAGCACGCGAGAGCCGCTCGGACAGGGTGGCAGGCGAAAGGCATGGGGAGAGAAGGGGGGCAGGGAAAGAGGGGGGCAAGGAAAGAGAAAGGGACGGTGCCACTACTGGAGGGAGAGACCAGGGAGACAGGGGCAAAAGGCGGGATGGAAGGGAGGGGCACAGAGGCAGAGTGGCAGAGTGACAATAAGCGAAGGGAGGGATAAGGGAACGCAGGGAAATAGGCAGGGGCCAGGGAGAGTAGCGTTGCAGCGCACGGCCAGGTCTCGTCTGCGATTGGCGCGCCTGGACATCCGCACATTCATGTGCTCTTTCTCCCCATTCCTGCCACGTTTGGATCAGCCAATCAACGCGCCTATCTTTGAAGCCACTTGCAGATACCGAGCAACGCCATGAGCTTAGCCGTCAATGGAAAACTGCAAATCCGTGTGACAGGTCACGGAGGGAAATGGTAGTCGCGCGTCCCCCGTAAATGAGAGGGGTAACATCTGGATCCTCATCCTCCCGTTCCATGAACTCAAAGAGCGTGCCTATGCTTCATCATGTGGGTCGTCGTCTTCTAGCGAACTCAACGATATCGGTGATCAGTCACTGTGCCTACACGGCGTGGAGAGAAGTCTTGATTTCAGAACCACCTGGTAGGACTCTACGGTCGTCGCTGCTTCCTGCGCGTCGATCGAGCCGCTCCCCTCCCCAATGCTACGTCGTGGTGTCTCTTTCTCCAGATCAGACGGCTCCGAGATGGCCAAAGATTGCTTCACGAGAGCCGCAAGATGCCCGAGGACCAACCCGAGAGGGCCCAACCACCCCGAAGGCTCCGAGATTCCCCCGGAAGATTCGAGGAGACGCAAGACGCCCCCGACACACGCCCCGAAAAACCTCAAGCGAGGATGAGTCCACGCTCTGTTTCAGATCTTTTCGGCTGCTGGTCACCCTGGATGAAGGGTTCGCGTGCGTCCAAGAGGGGGGCGTCCAAGAGGGGGAGGGCGCAAATCATGGCCAGCGGCACGTATGCGGCCCAGGGGGGGGGGCAAAGGGACGCATTGAAATAGGAGGGGGGGGGGCTTGGTGTATCATAACCCCCGCCATGAGACGTCACCGCGCCGTTTGGTCGCGCCCAAGCGGACAGCATCGGCACCACCGCAAACCCGAGGCAAACCCTGCGCCCCGCGCTCCAAGTAGACAACGCCGGCACCGCAGCAGACCCCACGGCGAGCCCACCGCGCCCGAAACGGCAGTTGCCCTGGTGGCCGCGGCGCTCTCCCCAAGACGCAAGGCTGCGTGTCCGAACAAACGGCTCGGCGACACATCGTTGAGCGGTGCTGCAGCCGAGGCCTCGCGGGCCAGTGGGCAAGGAAATCCAGGATCTCGCGGGCTGGTGGACGGCTGCCAGTGGGGAGGGGTCGAAGGCCGCCTGGCCCTGCTGGGGCTGAGTGACAAGAATGCCCGACCCACCGGCTCCTCCTCCTCCTCCTCCTCCTCCTCCTCCTCCTCCCACCTCCTCCTC